CAGGGCACAGCAGTTAGACTAGCCTGAGATATCTGTCACCGACTCCCTGACCCAGCCACCCCCCTAGGAGGTCCCTGGTCCATGGTGCCAACTCTGGGCCTCTTGCCTGCCCCACTAGATCCCAGCAAGCTGCCATCCGGACAGTGTACAGGCGATGGGGACAGCATGAACCCTACAGGCACGAGCCTGGGGTCAGAGCCACCGCCAGTGGCACGTGGTCCTCAGCTGGGCACAGAACTGGCCTTAGGTAAATGTGGCCTTATGGGTGGGCTGGCGTCTAGCAGCCACTGCTGCGGTCCTCCCAGTGTTTGCGCCAGGCCGAGCTGCGGCCTGTACTCTGGGAACAGTGGCTCAAGCAGCTTCTCGGTAGGACACCACATACCCACCAGCTGACCTCTGTCCTTCCCTCCAACTGCGTCAGCACTGTCCGGAACTGGTGTCACCCGAGCCAGGCCGCGCCCAGGGCCAGTCCACCCCCAGAAGCCCCCGCGTCCTGTTGCCCGTGCCCGGGGCCAGTCTACCACCCGCACCAATGCGCTCAGCTGCCCAAGGGGTATGGGTATGGCTGGCCCTGCCCAAAGAGCAGTGATGTTGATATGTGCCTTCCCCTCTCCCCCGATGTGGGAGCACACGGAGGAGGGGAGGAGAAGGGAGGCAGACACCCCCTGCTGGCCCTGCCCACAGCGGCACTGCTGACCCCTGGAGCTCCTGAGGGGATGCTGCCCTGTCTGCTGGTGGTCAGCAGAGCCAGGCAAGGCAGCGTCCGCCTCCACATGTGCCCGTGAGACAGGGCAGCCTTTGCTGGGCCTTCACGCTGGCTGCAGCCGCCATGTTCCTCTGACCATCACAAAGACCGTGCTGTGAAGGGCCTGGCTGGCATGCACAGAGGGGCCTTGTTCCTGTCGCTCCCAGGGCGTGAGGGGGAGGAATAACTAACACCAGTGGCGCCAGTGTGGGGCCTTTGTTCATTTCCTCGGCGGACACTGCCTGGGTGCCTGCATGGGTGTCCAGAGAGGACAGAAACCCAGCCTTCCATCCAGAGGCCCGAGACAGCAAAGGCACTGGCAGGTGCAGGAGCACCCAGCCACAGTGGTGGATGGAACATTTGCTGGAGATGGGGGTAGCTAGGTGGGGTCTTGAAGGATGCGTAGGAGTTTGCAGGTGGACCAGGTCTGAGGAGCATTCCAGGCACAGTGTGGAAGAAGGCGTGGAGTGTGGAAGAACAAGGGACATCCGCAGGGCAGCAGGCTGGGGACTCTGGGTGATTGGCATCGGGGGCAGCTGGTGGGGCCAGCCAGGGTAAAAGGCTCGGCTGAGACTGGCCTGTGACAGGGCAGCAGGGGCCATGAGGGTCCCCACAGGGAGAGGCTGTAGCAGGTGAGCACTGACAGCAGGGGAGCAGGGGTGGGGGGCAGTAGGGGAAAGAGAGGACGGGCTTGGGCAGAAGACCCCACCCACCCTCCCAATAGGCCCAGCCAGCAGGGTAGGGGATCAGCACTGGCCCTGGCGGTGACCCTGATCCTGCCAACTGGCGCCTGCACACCCTCCTCGGTGATGGGGTGCAGCACCCCTTCCACCACAGGCTGCTGTCCAGGAGGGAACAAGGTCCATAGCCCCTGACCCTCAGATGCTAACATCGTGGGGAGAGCCCAGAGCAGAAGGGACCCACTGGCCTTTGCATAGAGACCCAGAAGTCCACCTCAGCCCCCACCTTGGAGCCAAGAACCAATCCATTTTCAGCCGCCCCTCACTTAACTCTCAGAGTGGCCGGCCCCCAGCCGTCAGGGAGCCTGACTGTAAATGGGGACTCTGCAAGGGCCCACTTTGGAAGAGGAGCTGTGGCCCTGATGTCCCTTCTTCCAGAAGCTTCCTGACCCTATGAGGCCCTGTAATGCCTCAGACCCCTCACCCTTTCCTCAGTGTGGCACTGGCCACACTGTGAGTGTAAATTGGACCCAGAGCACACAAGGGTAGAGGGCAAGGCCGGGACAGGGACTAAGTTGGTGGCAGCCTTGGCTCCAGGCTCCAGGCCCCAGGGGCAGTGACAGGTGCATTGTCAGCCGCCCCTCACTTAGCTCTCAGAGTGGCCGTGGGAGCCAGGGTACATCCCACCTCACACGTGAGGAAACAGACCTGCCTGGACTACACAGCTAATGTGGCCCCCACCAAGCCACAGCTGAGCCCGTGGGGTGCAAGGAAAGGGGGGCTTCCCCCAAGTCACTGTGGGACAGGGTGAGGCTAGTGGGGGCACACACACACTGCTCTCTGCCTGGGCGATTCTAGTGTCTCTCTCTCCCCATCTGTTTTGGTTACCTAGTACTGCTCTGACAGGAAAATACCACAAATGGTAGGATGGCTTTAACAGACAACTTATCCTCTTAACAGTTTTGGAGGCTTTAAGTCTGAGTTCCAAGTGCCAGGCTCTAAGTGCTGGGTGAAAGCCCCTCGACCTTGGGCTTCAGCTCTGCCGCCTGCTCCCAGCCCACTGAAGCTGGAGGCTCTCTTCACTCAGGCAGCTACTGGCTGCCGAGGCTGACAAGCCCAAGGTCAACAAGTAAAAAGGCAGTGTCCCGATGTTAATGAGCAACACAGCAGGCCATTGATTCCAGTCCATTAAGAGTCCCAAGATCGGCAGACAACATGGCAGGCTGCTGAATAATGACTCGACTACACACAAGGCTCAAGCGCGCCAAAAGCTGCAGACGCGCCTGAAGCTTCTCCTTATACGCTGGGAGCAGACCACGTCCCTAAGGCTGCTCACCCTTTCCTCAGCTGCTTGTGGTAGATCCCACCGTGGAGCTGGTCACTGGTCTCATCGTGGGGAGTACCACATCAGCTGCCCAGCCGCTCACCCGGGCCCAGCCAAGCTGACACACAGCCTGAACTAGCACGCCATCCACGCTGGCTGGCGTTCCGTCTCCACCCCACGGGACACGGTGGCGGCGGCAGCAGCAGAAGGGAGGGGCACAGCCGGGCGTTGAGGGCAGAGAGGGGAGTGGGGACATACAGGGACACACAGGGTGGGGAAGGGGGCAGCAGACAGAGGCTGAGAGGGAGGGACAGAGAACAAGGGGCGAAACGGTGGGTGGGCCTGAGACAGACACGCGGGGTCTGCCCGTCTGCACGTCTCCCTGATTTTCTCTCCTTCCTCCCGTCTCCCTCCTTCTGTGTCTGTTTTCACCCTTGTCCTCTCTGTGTCTCTGTGTCCCTCCCCTCAGCCTCTGCCTGCTCCCCCTTCCCCACCCTGTGTGTCCCCGTATGTCCCCAGTCCCCCTCTCTGCCCTCAGTGCCCAGCTGTGCCCCTCCCTTCTTTCTGCTGCCGCCGTCACCATGTCCCGTCCTGCCCGAGCAGGGCTGCTTAAGCCGGGCTGTCTCCAGGCCCTTTCTGCAGTCCCTCGGCTTCTGTGTCCACTACCAAGGGGCTCATCTTGGTTGAGTTTGTTGGTGACATCTTTGGGGTCCTCCTGTGCCCTGCCAGCCTTCTGAGGGCTCTGGCAGAGCGGCCCCTCGTGCAGCCCTGCCCCCAAGATCCCCCGAGAGCCACAGCAGTGCCTTGTAATGAAGACAGAGAGTCAGTGATCTGGACACTGGCTGCTGCTAACACAAGCCGTTCTCTAACGGCCTCTTGAGTTTGCACGATGCACAGTCACCATGAGTGGCCAGGTATGCCGCTGAGGCGAGGCGCGGTGTGTGCAGCGTGGAATCTCGTGATAAACTCACTCGGTTACGGGGAGGGGTCCCGTTCCTCAGCCAGGGATTCCATTCCATCCCGTGGGGGCCCGGCCGGGGCACGTGACAGGCTGCGTCCAGTGGGCCAGCTGCTCGGGCCTCTGTGATAAAGCAGGTGGGGTGTGTGGGGAGAATTTTTGCTCAGCTGGGGAAGGGGGACACAGGTGCACTGCGTGGAGAAAGAAGTTGGGGGTCAGGTGGGAGCTGCACAGGATGCGGATAGGGTGTCCAGGCGAGATGCCCCCCAACCCCATGGCACTCCTGTGTGGGGGCCTAGGAGCTTCCGAGGAGCTGCTTGGAGAATGGGGGTCCATTCGAGCCCCTCACAGTGGTGAGGTCTGCTCCCCACCCTGGCCTCCCACCCTGCCGGCTCCGGTGATGCCTTGCTGGGTGGGAGCAGTGGGGTCGGGCCTCCAGGCACCAGGACTGACTGGCTCACCGCCCTCCCCGGGCTGCTCATCCCTGGGCACTCAGGGGCATGCCTGGCCTCTTGTCTCCTGGAGCTGGTCCTGCCCCTCCGAGCGACCTTCCCAGCCCCCTTTCCTGGGGCGCCCCTCACCTTTCCCGCCCACAGGTGTCTGCCCGGAGGGCTCTCCTCCGCCATGCAGCCCCACGCAGGGCCTCTGGGGGCGGGTCGCTATGCTCATCCTGTGTCCTCAGCCTTCAGCCAGACCTCAGGAAACATTTGGGGAATGAAGGAAGGTTTTGGGGGGCTCCAGCTCCCCTTAATCAGAGTTGGAAGTAACTACAGGGAGCATGGGGCTGCCTGTGTCGGGTGGAGCGGCTGCAGAGAGCACCCACCAGATGGGAGGTGGCTCTCACTGCTCCCCATCTCCTCCTGGGGTGGACTGTGCAGGGGTCCCCCGCCCCCCGTCCTGGCTCCTCTGTCAGGTGCCAGGCCAGGCCCAGGGCTATGGGAGCGTCCCTAGATGCAGCGCAAGGCTGAGCTCCTGGCCATCCTTGGGGTGTGGCTCCTGCTGGGGACGCCCAGGCGGGGGCCAGCAAGTCACCCCACATTTGAGCTGGACCTGGCCAGGGGGGTGTGGGGTCTCCAGGAGGGAACAGTCCCTGGCTGTCAGGGAGCGGTGAGTGTCTTGAAGGGGTGCCTAGCACCTGCAGGTGGGAGGGCAGCTGGTGGCCGAGGCCGAGAAGGGCCTGGAGTGTCCTGAAGGCCAGGCTCGCCTGTGCTGGCTGCTGGCAGGGGTGCCAGGCTGTGGAGTCAGTGGGCCGACCTGGGGCCGACTCTAACCAGCTCCTGTGCTCCTCTCCAGGCCCAGTGACGAGCACCACCCAGAGGTGCAGGCCGACGGGTACGTGGACAACCTCGCGGAGGCCGTGGACCTCCTGCTGCAGCACGCGGACCCCTGAGGGCCTCTGGAAGGCCTCCTGCCTCCTGCCCCCACACCTCCACCTGCCAGCCTGAGCCTCCCTGCCCGGCCCACCATGCCGAGCCCCCTGGGCCCACTTTGGCTCCTGCCCTATGGCCTTCCTGCTCCTTGCCTGAGCCGTGACCTTGCCTATCCCCAGAAAAGGTTGGGGTGAGGGGGTTGGGACACCCTCTGGGCATGGTCTGCAGGGCCTCCCCCTGGGGACTCCGGACACATCCCGCATCCCCAAACCCATCCACTTGTGACACTCGTTTGCACCTGGTCCTTGGAACGCAGTAAACTCCGCCCAAAGGGGTCCAGGAGTCTACGCCCACTGCCCCCTTATCAAACTCTGCTTTATTCAGGGATGGGCTGGAGAAAGCCCTGGCTCTCTCAGCACAGGCCTGCGAGCCAGAGCTGAGCCAGCCTCCCTGGGGACCACCCAATGATCCCTGCCCACCGCCCAGGACCCCTGCCTCCCGCCTCCCTGCCCCCGGGACCACTGGCTTCCTCAGCCGGCACTGGAGCCTCTGGTGTGGAGGCAGCATCCCGGAGGCGAGCCCTGGGGAGGCCGGAAAGCTGGGTGCCGTGTGCACAGCTGGGAAAGGGCACTGTGAAATAAACTCTGCCTGTGAACAGTGGCCGACCCTGGCTTCCACTTCCGGAAAGGGCCCGTTTCAGGGGAGGTGAGGAGGGCTCAGACACCCCTCCCTGGTCCTCATGTGGAAACCCTAAGTTGCCTCCTACTCCAGCCCCTCGGCTAACAGAAGGGGAGGCCAAGGCCAGAGAGGCAGATGCTTCCTAGATGCGCCCTGGGACAAGGTGGGCCCGGGCTGAGGCTGGCACTGCCCTCAGCTGGGGGTGGCCGTGGCCTGGTGTGCACTGCATTCCTCCCAAGTCCGTCAGGGCACTGGGTAATCTGATTGCTCCTTTTCCCTCAAATCACCTCAGACGCCACCGTGAAACCTTGGGAGACGAGGATTCCACTGTGAGGAGGCGGAAACCAGCATCCCTTGCACTGTGGCCCAGGCTGACGTGCGTGTGCAGCTTTGCCGGGCAGGTGTCATCGGCAGGAAGAGGTGCATGTGGCCTGCTCGTGTCAGCAGAGCCACAAGTCGGGCTCGGCAGGCTGCGGGACCCCCATGGCGATGGGGCGGAGGGGAGGGACCTGGCGCAGCCCCTCTTAGGCAGGCGTGGTAGTTAAGTTGGTGCATCAGCTTGGCTGGGCCTGGCTGAGTGGCTGGGCAGCTGGATGTGGTGTTCCCCATGTTGAGACTGGTAAGAATCTACTGGGTAGAATCCACTGGGAGCAGCTGAGTAGCTGCCCAGGGATGTGGTCTGCTTCCCGTATATGAGGAGAAGGCCTGGGAAAGGGTCTCTGGCCTATGGCACACTTGAACCCTGCATGTAGCCATGTCTTTGTTCAGCAGCCTGCCATGCTCTGCCGAACTTGGGACTTCCAATGGACTTGAATTAATGGCCTGTTGTGTGGTTTGGTAACATTGGGACTGTCCCATTTTATTTGACAACCTCGGGCTTGTTAGCCTCAGCAGCCAGTAGCTGTCTGAGTGAAGAGAGGCCTCTAGCTTCAATGGACCGGAAGCAGGAGGCAGAGCTGAAGCCCAAAGTCGAGGGGCTTTCACCCAGGCCCTAGAGCCTGGCACTTGGAACTTGGACTTGTAGCCTCCCGAACTGTGAAAGAATTAACATCCCATTTGTGGTATATTCCTGTCAGAGTGGCACTCGGGAACCAGAACGGCAGGGGAGTGGTTCTGTCTCTCCCTGGAACTGCTGAGCCCCTCCTTTTAAGGGGCCACCCCTGGAGCAGATGGAGAGAGTGGGGTGTTGAGAGTGGGGTGTCAGAGGGCAGCTCCTGGGGCACAGAGCAGAGAACAAGGGAACCCTCAGAACTGCAGGGGTGACGGCAGGTGGCTGCCATCATTCCCCCATGTTACAGATGAAGAAAACAGGTGCAGAGACAAAGTGACTTGCCCAAGGCCAAGAGGCAGAGCTGATATTCAAATCACCCTCTGACCTCACTACCCATGGCTTTTCATGATCCCATCCCCAACCCCCTCTCCCCAAGATCCCGCAGTGGAAATACCCCTCCTTGGGTTTCTAAGGTGGAATCACTACGGGAAGTAGATTGCCCAACCTTCCTTCCGAGGAGTGGCTGGTGGGTCTGAACCGCCAGCCTTCTGGTCAGCAGTCAAGTGCCATAGGCACTAGGCCACCAGAGCTCCTTTTTTTTTTTTTTGGTATTCCCCCACCCACCCCCAGCCCGAGATGCTGCAGTGGGAATGGCCTATGGGGCCTCCGAGGCTGTGGCTTCCTGCGTGCACCTGCACAATTGTGTCTTAAGGCAGGACCTGATCTGGGGGCTGAGGTGGCCCCACCCACGGGGAGTCATGGAGGCTTCTGTACCTCTGACATGTCTGGGGGTGACCAGCTAACCAGGGTCCCTGACTTGGAGGGCCAGGGACTCACTATGGCTGGCTGTGTGCTCCCACTGGCTGCTGGCCCGCATCACCCCCTTAGCTACTTGGTGCACCAGCGGCAATTGGCCACCCCAGGCCTAAAGCACATGGCTGCATGACTTTGCCTTTCGGCGTTTCTAAGGGCTGAGTTCTGAGAAGAGCCGACTCTGGCACCCGCTCCTGACCCAGGAACTGTGGGGACGAGTGGTCTCTGCTGTCCTGGGGTCCCTGGGCTTCCCCTGCAAGACATACACTGCCCTCTCCACCCACCTTTAGAGGGGCTACTGACCACACACTGCGTGGCCTCCCAGCCCTCTCTGCAGCTATTCCCAGCTATGGGTATCTACTGGCCCATTTCACAGAGGCAGCCCTGAGGCTCGCCGGAGACACAGGGTCCGGGCTCTGCCCCCACCCAGAGGACAGGGAGTGCCGGCTGTCTGCTGCATCCACAAAGAAAAAACAGCCACTCGCTACATCGGGTACCGACCAGGAAGCTTTATTTACACAGTGAAAGTAACAAGCAAATTCCTGAGACTAGAGTGGGTCTAGTGCAAGAGGCGTGGTGGGCGCAAATCAGGGGTCTGCACGTCACCATGACAGGCTGCAGCGGTAGGTGAGTGGCAGGCCGGGACCTCAAGTAGCAGGCCCCACATGCCCGTCCAGCTCCCACAGTCCGGCCACCACCACCCCCTGGAACCCTTAACACCAGTGACACGGGATTTGGAACAGCCTGATATGGCCCCTGCAGGAGGTCCCCCAAGGCCCCCTGGGCACCTCCCAACCTTCAGAAACACTCATCTGCCATAGACTATGCTAGAAGACGGACTATCCTACCGAGGCTACGAGATGGCGACTGCGGGCTGGCGGACAGAACCGCCTTCTCCGTGGAGCCAGGGCTCCCCCCGACCCGCCGCACGTGCTGGGCCTTCCCCAGCCCCATGGTGGTCACCACTGGTCTAGGTGACCGCCCGTGGCCACAGTGGCCCCGCAGTGTGCGGCATGAACCTGGTCAGCAGCCGACCCTGAAAACCACAGCCACATCAGAGAGACCTGTGCAGCCTGTTTTCTTTTTAATGTAATTTTTCCTTTGTATTTATTCTTGGCGTACAAATCCACAAAACTTTCGTGCTACAAAAACTGTGTTGAAAAGTAAGGCTTTCTGAGAACGAAAATCCGTGTGTGGGTCAGCATAATCCCCAATAGGCCCAGGCATTGGCTCTGCCTGTGGGCTCGGGGCTGCTGTAAGGCAAGAGGGGCTTCCTGTGGGCACCCCGACCCCGGCCGGGCCTCAGCTCTTTGGGGTGACTGGGTGTACAGGAAGCCCCTCCTCCCACCCAGCCCTCCAGGGTCGACACCGGGTAGGCAGCCGGCCCACCATGCCACCCTCGCAGCTCCAAGCCTCCTCACATCCTGAGGTGGGAACTCACGGCATCAGCTATGGAGGGCAGGGCCCCGACAAAAATGGGGCTCCTGTAAGGGCTCCTCCGTGGGACCCTCTCCTGGAGTCACTGCACACGGCATCAGGGAGAGCCCCCCAGTGACCTGAGCTCCAGGAGCAGAAGTTGTGATGCTGAGCCTGCAGCATGTGGACAGGCCCCTCTGGGTGGTGTAGCAGGGCTGTTCCACTGAACAAGGAAACCAAGCAGAGGCCCTGTGATTCTCTGGGCAGGAGGGCAGGCCCATCTATCCCCCAATGCCGAGGCCATGGGGTGGTGTAGCAGGGCTGTTCCACTGAACAAGGAAACCAAGCAAAGGCCGTGTGATTCTCTGGGCGGAAGGGCAGGCCCATCTATCCTCCGATGCCGAGGCCATGGGGTGGCCTAGGAGCTCTGCTGGGGCAGGAAGAGCCAAGAGGGGGCTGGAAAGGCCCAGAACCCTATCCTGAGCCGGGACATTTCTGCCTGCGAGCACCTGGGGGCTTGGGGTGTGGGCTGGGGGTCAAGCTGGGGGGAGGTGGGCAGGCCAATACTGAGACCTCAAGTGCTGTGATGCCACGGCAGGTAGGCAGGCAAACCCTCTGGCCCCCGCTCGCGTAGTGGCCACCTTCGTGGCACAGCCAGGCCTCCCTCATCACTGGGAGGTAGACTAGGAGACCCGGAAGGTTGGCGGCACAGGTCCCAGTCCCTGGGGCCCCTCTGGGTGTGAGCGGGGTCCCATTACACCTCCCAGGCCTCCACAGGGCAAGAAGCCCATCACTGGGTTCTCTCTGGACCCACCTACTCCCACTCCGCCTCCTGTGGGTCTGCTCTAAACAGCAGCGACCAGGGAGATGGCCCCGTCCACAGCAGCATCCTCTCTGCTTGTCCAGGGTCCTGTGTGGATGTGCCTCAGTGGAAGCCCAGTTGGGTGAGGGAGTAGGTACTGCCCTGGGGACCCGCCCAGTGCCCACCTGGGCCCCTCGCCCCTAGTGCCGTTCACACTGAGGTTTCCAACCCAACCTCCCCCCGAACCTTCCGTTCAGTGGCTCCTGCAGCTGATTCTTGAGACAGCTTGGAGCTGCCACCTCCTGACGTCGTGGAGAGCAGACTCAAGCCCCTTTCCGAGAGGTTTTCTTTAGGAGAAAGGTGAGGCTGTGTCCCCCCAGCCTGTGGGGCCAAGGTCTCGCTGTCATCAGGAGGGGCCTGCGTTGTGAGTCAGTGACCGCCAGCAAAGCCTCAGTTATCTTCAGCCTGATGGGCAAGTGGGTCACTCGCTCATCACCTAGCCCAGCTGCTCCTCTGTGGAGATGCTGGTTTGCTCTGAGCCAGGTTCCCAGCGAGCAGAGCCATGTGGGATGGTTGCAGAGGGCCCGGGGCTGGGGCTGGGCGGGGCTGGGGCTGGGCGGGGCTGGGGAGGGGCGGGGCGGGGCTGCAGCAGGGGAGGAGCACTCAGGGAAACTGCTCTCCAGGGAAGAAGGGGCGCTTGTTGAGCTAAGGGTATGCCTCCGTTCAGGATGAGAACAAAGGAGAATGTACTTGGGGTACCCTGTCCTGGTCACCCCCAGCCTTCTCAGCAGACCTGTCAGCCGTGAGATGGGCACACAGCTCAGTGTGTACACCTGCCCACAGCTCTTGCCTCATGAGGGCTTTGCAAGAGAGCCACCTGCATCACCTGAGCTAGTGCCTAATGACCAGTGAGACGTGGAGAACAGCTACCATCACCCACCCTGCCCAAGTGGCCACGGAGAGGAGCAGGGGAGCCACGGGTCAGGCCCGCCACACCATGGCCATGCGTGCCCAGAAGGAACTGGCAAGAGGGTCTATTTTTCTGCCAGGTGGACACACCATATTTCCCCTCGAGGAGGACACCCTCTAACAAGCCCCCCAGGTTGTTCCCCAGGCTCGGCAGGCTGGCCCTGCACCCCAGGGCCTCTGCCACCCCCCGGAATTAAGGCCAAATGGTTCAGGTGTCACTACAGAAGGACACATCTCCCGAGCCGCCACAAGCTGAGTGAAGCAGGAGACCGGGGAGAGAAGGCACAGAGTGAAACGCAGCGCGAGAAGCCAGGCGGCTCCCCCGACGGAACCTGAGAGAGACGACGCACAGTCCTAACCAGGCGGGAGGCGCCACCGCAGGGTGCTGGGGTGCTCCTGCCCAGCAGCCCATGACAAGAAGGGGGTGAGAAGACCCAAACCCAGAAGCTGCTGTTGGCTACAGTAGTTGCATGGACCCGAGTCCGCAGTGGGAGGCTGGCACTCCACGGCGGCTTGGCCAGGTCAGCACAGGGCTGGGGGACTGGCAGGGATCAGTCGGCACTCAGGGAGTGGCGGGGGGAGCCTTTCTCTGGGCCCAACACCTTCTGGGGAAACTCCCGTCAGGCCCAGGCATGAGGCTCCGTGCCCTGAGCTCCCACCTGGTGCCGAGGGAAGCCATGGATCCCAAAGTGTGCTCCGCCCGGCCAGGGCCTGTGGCCCTCAGTTGTTCTCTATCTGCTCAATGTCCAACTCGCCATCCAGGGAGCAGAGGCCTCTTCCCGCTGCCCCGCGGTCCCGCCAGGCCAAGGATGGCTCTTCCCCCCGGCCGCAGTCCTCATCCAGGGTACAGCCACCATCTGCCTCCTCGCAGGACAGCTCCTCTTTGCTGGCAAGGTGGTCGTTGAACGAATGGGGCGGTGGCTCGAGGATCGGGGTCCCGGCTGGGGTCCTGCCCCCAGTGCTGGCAGAGGAGGCCGAGAGCAAGGTGGTCCAGGAGCGAGTGCTGCTGGTGTGGAGGGTGAAGGGGCTGGGGGGGCCACAGTCCTCCATCCCGGCACTCAGGCAGCTGAGGCTGCTGAAGGTCTGACAGTTCTATGGAAGAAGCAGACACGGGCTACTGAGAGCCACGCTCTCCCCGAACCCCAGAAGCCATGCCCCACAGAGCCAAGCCACACCCCAATCCTGGCCTCCACCATCTGGGCCTGCCCAGGGTCCGCCAGCAGCTTCCTCATGGAGAAATAACCCCGGCCAAGCAATACACAAACCTCTGTGCTAATAAAGACATGAAAAATTCTGTTCCTCAACTATTAAACTGGCAAAGAACGTCCAACCAACACAGCCCAGTTCTGGTTTTACTGTGGCCTGTTTCACGGAGGTTACGTGTGCACCCTCCTTGAAGGTAGTTTGTAAGAACTCATCAGATCCCTTGACAGGGCAGTCTCAGTGCTGGGACTTTTATCTTAATAATGCAGCATGCACTCAAACATTCAACAACGTGGGTATTCCCAGTCATGCTGTCATATGAAAAGAGGCCAGCTCATCTCTGTGATCTGGAACGTGCCGTCCAGGAGGGGACACAACACAGCTACGAGGGAGCACAGTGGTTAAGCGCTCAGCTGCTAACCAAGAGGCTGTGGGGTTCAACCCGCCAGCTGTTCTGTGGGACAAAGATGAGAGTCTGCTTCCATAAAGACTGGTGGTGGTGTTACATGCCATCGAGTTGGATCTGACTCAGAGCAACGCCTCCTTGGGTTTCCAAGGCAGTATCACTATGGAAGTAGATTACCCAACCCCCCTTCCGCAGAGTGGCTGGTGGGTTTGAACCGCCAGCCTTCTGGTTAGCAGTCAAGTGCCTTAGGCACTACGCTACCAGAGCTCCTTCCCTCAAAAACCCTGTGGGGCAGTTCCACTCTGTCCTCTAGGGGCACTGTGAGTCGGAATTGACTCCATGGCAGTGGGTGTGGTTTGGGCTTTGCTTCCACAAAGATCACAGCCTTGGACATCCCATGGGTCAGAATCAACTTGGTGGCAATGGGTGGTGCGAGGGTTAAATGCCTGACTGATCACTGAAGGGCCATTTGAACCCACCCATGGCTCGGCGGGGGATGACCTGACGGGTCCCTCCTCTAAAGACTCAGCTTAGGAGACCCTGTGGGGAGGTTCTGCCCTGTCACATGAGGTTGCTATGTGTTGAAGTTCCCTTGATGGCTGTCGACAAGAACAATAACAAACCAGCCATGCACATAACACGGGCGCAGGGGCACGCCTGCTGGGAGCCTGGAAGGGCTGAGCTGACAGCCTAAACCCAGTGCACATCACAACCATCCGGGGAGCCCATCCAGAGACACTGGTCGTCTGGGTGGAGTCGACTGGCAGCACCCTCACCAGGTACTGCAATGGCGGTGCTGCCTCACTGGGCTGAGGGCCCACACCTTGCTGACTCCCGCAGGGCACTCAGCTGCCCCAGGATGAAGTTCCTTCATCCATAAGCGGCAGTGATGGTCCCTGCCTATCTTGCAGGGTCCCTGCCCACCTGGTGCTGGTGGCCTGTGCAGGGGCCCTGCCAGTGAGCAGTGTAAACACGTCCAGAGGACGGTGGGGGCTGACATGCATGTGTGTCCCACTTGGGAAGCTCAAGAGCAACATGGCAGGCCCGGCACACGCACAGTGGAGTCGGTTACTCACCTGCTGTCAAGCAGAGCACAGAACCCGGCCTCTGTCAGAGATAGAGTCCCATCCGGGAGTTCCAACCGGAACGTGGCCCAGCAGCAGTGGGGACTGAGGTGCGACAGCAAGAGGCACCCGCGCCTGCCCCGGTGACCTGGGGCGTGTGTCCTGGCTGCAGGGTCTGCTGTGAGCCCTGGGTTGTCCCTGCCACTGGTCAAACGCCCACTCCCGAGGCCAGATCACAGTGCTTCCCCAGGGCCCTATCTCATCAACGGCTAGTGTCTGCCTGTCATTCTGAAACGAACACGGCCACTGATGGCACAGGAGCGTGCTGCAGAGACGGGCCAGCACACCCATCCCGGAGGCGGGGCCCAGCGCCGACACGTGCACCGTGGGCAGGCACACAGAAAACACGGTGCACGCCCAGCGGGGGGGAGGGGCTCACTCTTCCTGAGAACTATGGGTGATGGCGCCGGTGGGTGAGCTGGGAAAGGTGGAGGCTGAGGTGCTGGGGTTCTCTGGAGGGAGCACCAGCTCTGATGAGAAAAGGGCTGACCCATCAGGCAGGACGAAGATGCTGCCTCACTGGGCATCCCTGATGCTGACCCCCACGGCTCCCGCAGGAACACTGGGCTGTAGGAGGAGTCATGAGACCTGGTCAACTCAGACCACAGTAGTTCCCATCCCAGCAAAGGGGCGGAGTCAGTGCCTCATGCAAAATGGCCCCCAGAGCCCCTGCAGTCCAGATCAGGCTGGGGGGACCAGCAGCTCTCAGCCACAAACCCAGACACTTGCAGTGGAAGGATCCCCAAGGCCCCCCTGCCTCTCCCCAGGCTCCTGAATGTCTAGACCTGAGCCAGGGCAGGAGACACTGGGAGGGGCAACAAAACAGGGAGAACGGCCCAGCCTGCAGCCAAGTAACAGGTGGGACCATGGCCTCCAACAGCCATCTTGTTCTGTCTGGAATTGGGGCCTTTCATGTGGCTATGCGACTCGTCACCAGCAAACCAGAGACGCCCTTGCATCCCCACCCCCCACCCCTCAGCAGCACCTGGGCCAGTGCCACCTGGGTGGCCTGTTTGGATTCTGCACTTGCACCCCAGTGAAAGCCAAGGCCCTCAAGTCAAGGCCATGTCTGAGCCCCGGCTGGGCCTGACCAAGTTATACCCTCCTCTGCTGGGAAGCTGCAGGCCTTGGGCTCTGGCCGTGCAGGAGCGCTTCCTCCCAGAGTAGGTGTGTCCACCAAGACAGAACTCTCCAAGCAGCAGAATGTACCAGGCTGTGAGAACGGTAACAGCCTGGAACGTTCCTAAGTCTCCACTTGTGCCAGAAGCTGTCAGAGAAACCACCAAGCATGAGGCTGTCATTTCCTGGGGTTTTTAACTGCCTCAGAAGAGCACAGAGGCCAGGACATGCTCTCGACCTGTCACTAATCTGTCCGTGGCAGATCTCACAGGAAGCCGCCTGGCCCTGGCCCTGGGGCAGGGCTGTTTCTCCTCCCAGGTTGCCCCACATCAGGACTGTGTCCACTAGGTGCCCTGTAGGGGCTGGGGTGGCCTGAGCGCTGCTGGTACGGTCACTCTCCCCACAATGGCTCATGCACAGGACTGATAAGGCCTCCTGGCAAGGCTGTACCCCTCCCACCTTATCTTCTTGTCTTAGGCTGTGTCCAGCCCCATTTCCAAGCCAGACGATCAACCACTTGCCCGGTTGACAAGTACCCTCCTAAAAAGAGATCAAGAGATGGCCCCATGCAGCCTGTCTCTGTGACACTCACCTCTGGACCCATGAAAGACAGCCCTTGTGAGCAGGCCTGCGCCCCCACCCCTAGGAATATGAGAAACTCAGCCACAAGGCCCAGATGGGGAGCGAGGCTACGGAGGCCAGAAAATGGGAAATGGAATTGCCCAGGTGGCCTCGGGGCCAAGTGTGATTTGGTGCTGGACCCTCGAGGCTCCCCCAGTAGAAGATTCTGGAATCAAACTGTGCCGGGTAGGTCGGTAACATCTAAGGATAACGTCCTGTTACCCTGATATCCTGTCACCGTAAGGATGCACCTGCCCCATGCTGCTGCGTCCTCAGCTCACTATAGGGGCCAACAACATCATGCCAGCAGGTCATCCCCTATCCTGGAGCTCAGGCCAGAGACACTCTCAAGGGTCCATCTCCGTCAGAGTGCAAAGGATAACGGTTCGCTCCAAATGTCTGAAATCCTCAACCTGGTCCAGGAGCCACTGCCCCAGCACCTGCCCGCCCCTAGGAAGTCAGCCTGGGCCACCTCCACTCTAGTGGCTCTCTGGGGCCCCCGCTAAACAGCCCTGGAGACCCCTTTTGTTTTTTCTCTGTGCACTGTGGCTCTGTCCGATAACTCTAGGGCCCAAGGCCCTGCTGGAGACAGGGCCAAGTAGGAAATGACCCATGGTCCTGGCAGGTCCGGGAGAATGAGTCCCTGGAGCAGCCTGTCCCTGGGCACAGCACCCAACAGCCTGGGCCCCTCTACTCATGCCCCACAGGCTGTCTCATGGCAGACACTACTACTGCACCAGGCTCAGGTGGCAGAAGCCCTGCCTGACACAGACAGCATGGCCAAGGGCCTCCCTCCCAACAGAGAACAAATATTATGTCTCTGTGGTGTGTGTTCCGGCCAATGTGCACGCAAGACAGGACTTGTGAAACCACTTCACTCTCATCTTGGTGTGAAGAGAATTCTTTGCCTAACAACAGTCTAAGGACCTTTCCAAAGCACATAGGGCCCTGGCAGGGATCCAGGCTCACGCGACCGTCACTGCTGCAGTCCTCGGGGAGGCAGACCGGGGTGCGCCCAGCATCAGCATCTACTGCCCTACACATAGGAGTGAGGTGTGGAGGTGGGCCCAGTGCTGGCAGTGGGCAGTGAGAACTGGTTCCATTTCACCACCTGGAAGTACCCGAGGGCCCTGTCAGGGCCCAAGGCGATGGGGCTGCGGAGCCCTGGGCCCTCCCAGCCGCCCCAGCAGCTCCTGCCTTTGCTCTAGATATGGGCTTCCATGCAGGATGCACTGGGGGAAAGGGATCCTTTCTGGAAAAGTGAGCAATGGCTGACGGGTTTATCACCTCATTTTGCAGACTGAGGCCAAGGGAGTGGCAGGGACTTGCCTGAGATGGCACTGCTCAGCAGAATGTGTGGTTCTCAGGGCAGGCGGGTGCAGCAGAAAAGCCCAAGCAGGCCTAGTCAGCATGCAGTTTAGCGGTGCCCACTGGGGGATCCTGGCCAATCACCCAACTTGTGGATGTCAGTTTCCTCATGTGTAAAATGAGGCTCAGAAGGGCCCAAGACAAAGTCACAGAAATTGCCTGGAGGGTCAAGTATAAGGAGACCATGTAGGTGCAGACCAGTGCTGAGCAGAACTGAGCTCCCCTCTGCCCACCCTGCCCTCATCCCACTA